TATTCGGCTAATCTAAAACACTTGGGGAGATTAAGTGCAGCACTGAATTGCCTTAGGCTAAATCACGATGGTAGCCATTAAATAAACAACTTGAAAAAATAAAAGCGGGACTCGAACCTACGACCTTCCGCTTGCCGGGCTCTATTCGCTTAGAAAGGACAATGTTCGTTCTCCATACATTGTTCGCCTAAGAACCAACAATTTTGACATATTACTACCNAAAAAAACATTCCAAAAGAAAAAATACAAAAAACGCATATAAAAAAGGTCTGTCGCCAACACCGTCGAACTTACAGATATCTTATGTGGTATCTTAAGACGCTCTAATAGGTGCCATTTTGCTATAAAAATATAAAGTCTGATGTGCTGTTGACTGTATAATGTACACCACAAGAATCGAGAGATAGTTACTTACGCCCGTATTCGCAAATCGAACGCAGAGTGTTGAATAAAGCTCTGTGATTGGTTCACGTTCGTAGTAATGTTATAATGTTTGTGAATACGGGTGTTAATCAGCTGTCTGTAATTTAGAGTTGGGAATAATTGCTGGATTCGATCTAGATCATAAATGGTCTAGTCTAAGTAATATAAAATTAGAAGTGCCAACCCTACGGCTGAATAAAGTTTTCAAAACAAAGATGATACTTTGGAGTCTTGGTAACATATTAGAACTGCCAACCTTACGGCTGAATAAAGTTATCACGATAAAGATGATACTTTGGAGTTTATTTAGGTATTTATCTTTATAGAAACATACCTACAGCATTTACAGTTATTTGCAGAGAATTGTTAATACCGCTAAAAGATCTCTACTAGAGCTTTTTTATAGGTCCACATTCTCATATTATCCGGATACTGACCGCTGTTGGCATGCTTCATCCCTTTGAAAGATTTTATTATTAAAGGTTGCCTTGATAAAAACAGGAGCTTTCCATAGGAAATTTCTATTAAAACGAAAATAAGAGGTTGTTTGCTAATGTTTAAACATACCAATAATTTATTGTTTCTTGAACATTCTAAGGATTCTGTTTTTTTAGCTACAATCTATCAAAATTAATTATGCCTATGTAAATTGTTATACTGAATAATAACATAATTAAAATTACTACCACTGTTTTTGTTTTTCGCCCATCGCATAGTCTGTAGGTATTAGAGCTTAAAAGATTTTAGGTTCATGTATTTGAGTATCCTAAAGGCAGATACCAGGTACGTAGCTGATATGATTTTATCAACGATACGGGGCCCTTAGGATACCGAGGCCATAGTGCCGAATTTTATGGATTAGTCAGGCAACTGATTTATAATTTTGCAATGACCTTTTTTAAATGAAAAGGGCCTCTTGATCTAAATACCATTTTTTCGATGGGGCCCCCAACACATTTTAATACAGGGCCCGCCTTAGGCATGCTACGACACTGGCTTATACGGAGTTTTTGACACTTTCTCTAGGGATGGGAGTAAAAAGAGGTTTGAAAAGTTTTTCGGGTAACCCATCATGACTACACGGTTGATGTCAGAGCGGTCTCTAGTAATTTAATAATCCTTCGATGTCCCTAAAGTCGTCCATCTTCAACTCTTGAGAGTCGTTATAGTACTACAAGCTTTATTATTATATTATTATAAAACTTTATTGCACAATAGAATCGTACAAAAGGTGGACTTAATGCTATTTAAGCATTCTCAGCTAGTCCACCCCTGGGTTATGCAGAAAGCTGTGAGTGCGAAGGTAGAGGTAGAAGGGTAGAAGTTAAATTTTTAATTGATATAATATTTAAGAAACATATACCTACAGTACATACATACATACATATACAATATACATACATTATACAGATACATACATACATATAATACAAATAAATATAATTAACATATTATACCATAATTATATGTGATAAATAAATAAACAATATTACGCAATCATGTGGAAAGGTGTTTACGTACTCTCATTTTAAACGATGTCCTCGTTTCCGACTCTCTGATATCTTGTGGCAACGAGTTCCAAAGGCGAGTAGCCTTCACTGTAAAGGACTTCGAGAAGAAGGCAGAGTGATGGACAGGTGTAACAAGCCGAAGGTTATTGGAAGAACGGAGAGTTTTAGTACGCGGCTTCGACAACGTAAAATTCAGTTTCTCACAGATCATTCTAAATTATAGCTTATTTAAGTAGGAAGGTTGCTAGGTGGTCCTAGCCTTCCTATCCTGCAAGAAATATACCCTTGATTTTCATTAGAAGTTTAGAATACCTACTCATATGTAGGTACTATCTTAAATAATAGAGTCATTAGGTAAATTGTATTTGAAATGTTACCTAAGTTAAATGGTATTTCCATTGTAGGCTATTTAAACTTATCTACTTTCATAAGACCATTTGTAATTAATAACGAAAACGATTATCAGTAACTTTTTATAGCTTATTTAAGTAGTTTAGTCGGCCGTTTGGTGTAGTGGTTCAGAACGGACTACTATGCCGAGAGGTCCCGGGTTCGATTCCCGGCCGGGCAGAAATTGAAATGATGAATTTTAATTTCTGTGACGGGTCTGGGTGTTTTCTATGTATAATATGTATGTATTTACAAAAAAAAAAGTATTTAAGTATGTTTATCCCGTCGGTCGTCTAGTACCCATAGTACAAGCTTTGCTTAGTTTGGGACTAGAGGCGCAGTGTAAAATGTCCAAGGATATTTATATCTATTTATATCTATTTATTTATATCTATTTTTCAGAACGGTGTAAAAAGGATCCTAGGAAAACTTGCATTCAGCTTAAATACAGAATCACAATAAATTGAACCTGTTCAGTCAGCTGCTACAATCCACTAGGCTAGACTGGTGATGGTTGTGATGATGACGAAATGAAATAACGATGGTGTAATAACGATGCACGTACAGATGGTGTGTATATGGCCTTTCAAAAAAGCAATTAGAGCACCGGCTTATGCGCCGCCATCGCCGGCCATCGATCACGCCGCTGCCACCTGGCTGTGTTTACATGAGCGATAAAGCACGAGGGTGCCGTGTGCTAGGTATTTGTACACGTGTGTTGCAGCTTTTTGAAGGGACAGGTTCTATCCATCCATTCGTTCGGCACAATTATGTCCACTGTTTCCACAACGATACGATAGATTACGAATTCTTTTTTCTTTACGAATTAATTTATTTTGAAACTGTTAAGATCGTCGTTCTGCCTCCTTCCTAAAGTTGCTGTGCCCTTCTGGGTCCACATTGTATAACTGCCTAAATTGTAAGACCGTGTGAATGTGCTAATGGTTATGCAATAAGCGATTGAGTATTGAGTATTGAATTTGTTAGCATAACATAATTTATGAACGAATGGTCATTATATCATAAATTTTTATTGTATATTGTAACTAGTTTTCCGCCCGCGGCTTCGCCCGCGTGGTATTTTATCTGTCACAGAAAAACTTTATTGCGCGCGTCCCTGTTTCAAAAACCGGGATAAAAACTCTTATGTCCTTCCAATCCTATGTCCTTTCCCGGGACTCAAACTATCTCTATGCCAAATTTCATCAAAATCGGTTCAGTGGTTTTGGCGTGAAAGAGAGACAGACAGACAAAGTTACTTTCGCATTTATAATATTAGTATAGATAAATACGCGTAAGTCCACGGGTAGAAAATTGGGCAATACCTACTTAAAATGTTATTTATCCACCTTATTTTATACATTTACTCATAACAAACGCCTTTTAGTACCATTTCAGAAAATTAACCTAAGTTCTTACATAATCATTATTGTAATGTTTGCATAAGAGTAGATTAAATATTTTAGCATAATGCTATATTTCCGATACAAAACTAGGTACATATATCAATATCAATATTGTTTGGGCTCTTTTCCTTGTGAATAAAATGGATGGTGAGTCCGATCGTTCGACAACTGAGTTAGGTATAATTGGGGGCCTTTTGCTGCGTAATTAAAACGTGTTGTATTAGAAGGAAATCAATATTTAAGTACAAACAACTAACTTCAGCACTTTTTGGCAAAAATTGTAAATAAAATCTAATTGTATGGCATGAACACTATTATTCAGGTTGAGAAATGATGGGCTTCCATGGGCTTACATTCAAACTGATGTAACTGATGCTTACATACAAAGTGGTGAGCCACTTCTGCTTCTATTATCTCCCGTCAATCATTTACCCATTGTTACCTGGATGGGGCAGCGCAGGACCGTGAAAATCCTTGGAGGACGCCTTTGTCCAGCAGTGGACGTTATTTTGCTGGAACAAACATGAAGTACAGCACACAATCTTGTGTCTGCTCGTTTGCCTCTTGTCACATAAAAAAAAATCTACATTTTTGTTGAAAAAGTGCAACTACTTGTTACAACTAGGTTTTAGTTATCTTTTATACACGAGTACTCTACTTATTCTACTGTAATCATCATCATCATTGAACGTGACGCGATAAGTAACACGTAGACATTCTCAAAAGCAACAACAACAATACTGAACTCAATCAGTATTGTATCAGAACTTGCTTCCAAGTTTCCAAATGCAATGGTTTGTGATTTGTATTGAGATGAACACAGCGGTAATAGTGATGGCCGCTTGTACTTAGTTTGCGTTGCGGGCACGAAACTGGCGACGGCCGCGGCCGAGCGATGGCGACGCGACGCGATTTCGGAGCGGATGCATTACAACAACATGGACAGTAATATGTGACGCGCACGAAACGGGCGGTAGCGGAGCGGGACGACGGTGGGCTGAGTGTGAGTTTACATGAAAGGTTTTTTTAACGTCCTCACTAGTTGAACGCGTTAAAAAATGTATGAAAATTTTAGTTCTTGAGAGTTTCCGTTAGGAGCGCTGTACAATCCATTTAATGTAATTTTTTTATGCGCTCACTAGTGAGGACGTTTGATCGCCCCGCCATCGCTCGGCCGTCGCCAGTTTCGTGCCCGCAGACTTAAGAACACCCTATTTGCATTCTATTGAGCTCTCGGCCTGTCAAACAGGCATCGTGTCGTATAACAATGTTGTCTGGCACAACACTGGCATTGTTACAGCTACTACGACTGTTATAGGAAAAGTTGGAATTGTAATAAAGTTAAGTTATGAATTTAATATTATGGGTTTCGTATTTACATTTTTCGAATTTTCCAACTGACTGAGAGAAGTTGCTTCTTACCAATATTTATGATACTAGGGCAGAGGCCAGCACAAAATTTTGCATTTATTACAAAGTGTCAAAAAGTGAAAAATAATAGCAATATTTGTTAGCCTAAGCACGGAATAAATAAATTTACTACGTAGTAAGTCACAATTGAATCTATTTTCTTTTAATTTGGTGATATAATTGGATTTTGTTGTGGATATTTTATAAGAACCACAATACCAATTGTTTTTTGTTCCTGGTAAAAATCAAACTCTTAACAATTCTTTAACAAACATTTCTTCTGATTACGTATAAAACCCCTTTAGAAAGTTTGATGAGGAAGAAAATAATGAATAGAAAGAATGACCTTTAAAATTTGTTGACGGCCTGCCTCGTCTGTTGGTTTGCGAACTGAATGAAACGAAAGACGATAAGAACGTGCATTTATACATAATAAACCTGAGTTGGGTAATTTATTCGAGATGTATTTTTGATCCGTCACTGAAAGATAGAGCCACTTAGAAAAAAATGTAGCCTTCTATTGGTTCAAGAATTTTCCAAATCGTTTCAGCAGTTCCAGAGAATACCTATTGTGATTAAGGCTGAGTTACACCACCTTATTTAAACCGTCACATTAACCTGTGCTTTATTCGGTTTGTCAAAGTTAAAGTAAGATGGTACAACTCAGCCTAAGTATTATGGATGTTTCCTGGGTAAAAAAGCAAGAGTTTTAATTAGTCCGTCAGTTAGCTTATCAAAAACTACTCGACACGTATTTTTCACTTTTTGAAACGAATGAAAATGTAAAGCGATAAAGCGTGCCAAAGTTCTAAAGAAAAGGCTCGAGACGTCAGTGAGTGCCTAAAAGTGCTGCACTTTGTGACGTCGCGCGGAACTTCAACGCACTATAACTTAGTAATTATTTGTTTCATTGACAATTAAAAATATACGTGTCCAATACTTTTTTATATTAAAATTAACGGACTAAAAAATTTTTTTAAGGAAACTAGCTTATTGCTAAGAGCTGAATAATGGACTCAAAAGTACGTATATCTATTTCAGTACACTGCAGTCATCGACACTTCAAATAATTTGATTTGTATATCCGCTGCAGTAAGATTGACTGCAAGGCGCGTATCCGCAGCCGATAATGACTTCGTACTAAAACTATTTCAGTCTAGATATTTTTGAATCTGACCTGAAATTATTGAAAAATAGCACCTATTACAAGTATTATAAGATACCACAGTCTGTGCTATCCGACTGCAGTTTTTAGTTTTTGCGCCATTTTCAGCTTATGCTCTAGCAAATGTTAGCGCTAATTAGTTTCTTTGTTTTCTTATGGTAGCGCTGATTATTTTTGTGGTAGTATAAGAAGGAAAAAAAGAACTACTTTTTCCCCTTTGAAAAATTCATATTGTACCTAAATGAAGTATTATTTTCTCAACAGTCAAATACAAGAAAACACATAATAAAAATAAATTTTCTTCGTTACGATAATTTATTTGGGTATGCGACATGTGCGTAATATTTCATGAAATGCTATAATGTTAGAAATATTAACAAAAATACATACAGAATATGACATTTAGGTTAATATCCCTATTAGATATTCCACACCCTTGTTGAAAGTGGTAAAAAGAGCTGGAATTTATTAACCGTGAAGTGGCAGTTAGTTTTAAGTTACTGCCACTTCAGTATGAAGGAGTTCAGTGCCCTTTTTGGGACATATCTATTGGTCTTCAAATATCAGCCTTTCCCGAAAGCCTATTGTATCTGTAACTGTTTGTACTGTAATTCAATAAAAAATACCGAGAATTACATGTTGTTTGATGATTCCAAGGTCAGTAATCTTAACATTTGAAGAACGTAATTTGTCTTTGATTAAAGGTAATTTGAGACATAATTTAATTTAAAAAGCAAATTGAGTAAGTTGTTTCGAGTTTGTTTGTGATACCTATTACATGCTTGAATGAAACTGATTATCTGAAAAGAAATAATAATATGATTCTAGGCTTCGAAGGGCTCGCGAAACTTTGATTATTCCAACTTTTGGTTCAAAATGGTTCGGTTATGACGACTCTAGTTGTTAGATTATAATAATAGAAGATGTATCATAATATAAATACAATATCGCATCAATAAAAATTACAAACCTTCCTTTTATTTCCAGAAAAATGGACCTTCCCGACCCCAGAAGATATCGCATACCACATAATCGGAATGGACATGAGATGGCGCAGTGAACTTCGTCTCAAGTGATGAACAAAGGACTCCGTCACAATGTTAACGGACGAGTCCCGATTGAACTACTCTGTTACCAACTACAGCGATCCACCATTCCTCGATGATCCAAGATTCATATCGCTTTTAAAACACAGGGGATACAACCACAGTGCCAGTTTTGGAGAAGTATTAAAAGCACTCAATGATTGGAAGAGCAGATACAACATTTCAGTGTACAAAGAATGCGACAGGTTCGAGTATTGCTCTGGAGACTTCAGAGAGTTGATTTTGGCGTACAACAGTATTCATGGATATGTCAGTTTGTTGGTAAGTAAATCATTGTAAGGTAGAGTCGATAACTTCATTTCGTAACTATAGTTACAACTTTTTGATCGCTGATGAGATCTCTTAAAACTATTTTGTACCACGGTTCTATGTGAGAGTAAATAAATTATTGTGCCTTAAATTGCATGGGCTCGTTAAATTGCTTTCTAAGTAGATTTATCAAATTGACACCCGATATTTGGTGAATTTTCTTATAATTGAAGACAAAGGGCTATATTTCACCGGGACACCATTGCGGCGCAACCAGTCGCCGGCTACCAACAAATGTATACAGCTCTATAGAAAGTTACTCACCTGGTGTCCATTTGGTTGCGCAAAGCTGTATACATTTTGTTGGTAGCGGCGACTGGTTGCGCCGCCATGGTGTCCCGGTGAAATATAGCCCAAAACCATTAGTAAGGTAGGTAAAGACGGCTGAAGCATCACATTTGTTAAAAACAAAATTACGTTATTAAGATTCTACTGAAACCAAATACAACCTACCTAAAGCCTGTGCTACAGTATTTTAATGTTTGTAATTATTTCTTCACTTAAGCCTATTCAATACAAACATACAAATCTCTCCTCTTTATAAATTAAGTATAGATTATAATTCTTGCACTAAAAATAAAGAGCGTTGTTTTGTACTGATTAAAGATGCAAATTATAATGTCAGAGGCCACAGAGCGATTGAAGGGTTCATGTATAATGCAAATTCGCCGCAATGTCGCGCGGCGAATACAAGTCAGTTGTTGCTTTAGCTTCAATAAACATAAATATATTGACGGCTCTTGGAATTGAGTTCGCGTATCCGACATGTTGCAGGTTCTAATCCCGTTAGGGGTGTGTTTGTGTTATAAGTGTTATAGTCAAACCTCGAAGTTCCGGCACTCCTAGGTTTGACTAGTCAATCCTCAGGTCTGACTAGAAGTCTTAGTCAAAGCCCAAACATTTCGGCCTTTGACTAAATAATGTTAGTCAAACCTAGGAGTAACTAATTTGGTCAGGCAAAGGTCGAAACTCTATTTAATGAAATCGGGGTTTGACTAGTCAAACCTCAATTAAGACTTTAAACTAAACTATACCTACTTCATTCTGATCTTGAACTTATTGCATAGGCGTTACGGTCGGTTTTCACGCGCACGCGCAGCTGTCTCTTTTGTTGAAGGTACGAGTAACTAAACTTATTTACTGAGGTTGTATGTCAGTGTTTCTAGATCGATCTTGAAATTACTAATTTTTAGGGTTCTGTTACCTTAAATTAAAGGATAAAGAGTAAAAAAGCGACCCTTAACGACAACCTTTAGCGAAGTTATAGTAGACTTCGCTAAAGGTTGTGTCTGTCACCAAGCTCGTATCTCATGAATCATTCTCAAAATATTTAGTTTTTATTCACCTTAAAAATAAATAGTTTTAGTTATTATCTTGCTGTGTACCTACTTGCATCGAATAAATATTTTTCTTTCTTTCTTTCTAAATATTTAAGAGGGGCTCCCATCCCATACAGCAAACGTGACTTGTTGCAGTTTTCTACTCGATATTAAAACGTAAACAGGTGAACCCTTGAAATATTCACATAATATTTAGTGGCTTAATATTTAGTTATTTTAAAAATAAATCATAAAATTAAAATAAAATAAATATTTATCTTTCATACAACAACAAAGTCTCACGGAACCCTTCGTGAGCGAATCCGACTCGCACTTGGCCGGTTTTCTATTTGCCGTCTACTTTTGACCGAGTCTGCCAGTCGTTTCTAGGATTGACTAGGCAAAGCCCGAAACAGATTATTTTAGTTTCGACGTTTGACTGAACAGTTTAGGCACTTCTAGGTTTGACTTAGTCAAAGGCCGAAATAAGAATTCACTTCGGGGTTTGCCTGTAGGCTTTGGTCAAACCTAGGATAGACCAGTCATTCCGCGAAGAGACTGCATATCGACCTTTGACTATGACATAAGTACGAGCATTTGGAGCGCTTTTATATTTATGCGACTTTAGCAGCGCTACAAACGCGTGACAGTTGGGTTGCTGATAATTTCCTACTAACTATTATGACAGTACGGCAGCGGCGTTTATAATGTTAAGGCAGGAATCCGCTGCTGCCGTGCTGCTGGTCGTGAGCACACGATGCGTTGCGGCGGCGGTGCGACGTCGGAGCGGTGTCGCTCCGTCATCTTACATAGAAATATCTGTGGCGAGCACACGATTACTGCAAATACGTTGCGCTGCGTCGCGTCATAAAAAATATATGGAAAACGTCACTCGCAGCGTACATTTATTATGACGGGACCTCACCCTAACGCGCTAATGTGAAAACAGTCTCAGCCCAAAGTCGTTAAGTTAATGTAGCACAATGGTAAATAAAACCTTTCCATTACTATTCAAACACATCGTTTAACAATAAATCAAACCTATTTCGGTCGGTTGTTTACCATGTCATACGACGCGACATGTCGTTGCTTAATTGCATGTTGAACTTGTATAGTTTGGTATTGTTGGCACATGAATGCATTAATTTAATTTAGTAAAATTTTATGTTCTGTTTAAAATCTAGATTTAAAGTAGATACTTATTACACTCGTACGAGTAGCTCGAAAGTCGAAACTATATTTAATATCAAGTATAGTCTTTTTATCATTTAAATTTCAATATTCTTTAAAAGTAACGAATTTTAAGTGTTGTTTTGTAACGTGACACTAGTTCACGTTTGAGTTAAGACATCCCGTTTTTTGCAGGATCCCGTTTAGTTGTGTAATAAGTGTTTTAATATTATTGTTCACACGAACATCCCGTCCCGATAGATAGGATAATTACCTATTTCTTTGGTAAAAGTTTATTTTGTTTCCTAGGTTTGCCTGTTCGGCAGTTTAGCCAATATTCTCAATGTAGCAGTGCTGACGCGGCGGGACCTAGCGGCAGTTCCCATCAACCGGCTGCTGAAGTGGCTGGCGGTGGCCGACGTCTTCGTCATGATGGAGTACGTGCCCTTCGCCATCTACAGATACCTGGTAAGTCTGCTGGAGGAGTTTTTTGTTTATTGTGGGTTGGTACTGTCCACTTAGCGCTTGTTGTAGCGCAGGACCGTGCATTGTGGGAAACCTTGAGGTCTTTGTCCAGCAGTGGACGTCATTTGGCTGAAACGACGACGTATGTATGTATGTATACTCGTATTTCTTTGGCAAAGGCTAAACGGCTTGACCGATTTTAGCGTGAGAGGTGTCGTTAGATTCGTCTGTGTATTCGTACTGGCTATGATAAATTGAAAAAATAAAAAACAAAATGGCGGACTTTAGGCTTACTTAATCAATTAATGTCTATACAAATCACTCTCTTCTAATAGTTTAATGCAACCCTCATTAAACGACTAAAACTAAAGGGCTGGAGTTAATTAAGTGATAGGAGTGCTTACAGCAGGCGCACGATCAAAATGTTCAGGGCTTTTGCGGATTTGCCGTTGAAAATGTTGAAATATTGCTTTCAACTTAAATAATTCAAAACTGGACTCTTTGGTGATATATTTAGGGTCCACTACAAGGGTACTTAATCTTTCTAATTTCATACTGTCTATAAAAGTGGCTTACCTTACTTATAGCTTACTGGTAATCTAACTAAGGGATCGCTATTATTTATTTCAATTATTGTCAAGGTTACCCTAGACTTGACTATTCAATATATGTAGGAAAAACTACAGTAAATGACACAAAGTGCATGGATTAAAGACTCATGTAAATAATAAAACAAATGTACCTTTTACTTATCAAAGTGGTGTTAGTAAATCTCTATGCTTGTTTAAACCGGTGAGATTATACTTTAATACGTTATAAAAATAAGCAAAGGCATCTTGCAGATGTTTTTATCACTTGTTTAATTATGCATATGACAGAAGAAGCAGAAGTTGTATGGACTAAAAGAAAGATAGCTAAATTTTAACACGTAGTTCGTAATTTGTGAGCACTATCTCGGTAAATGGAGATGTTACTAGAAATCTCTCAATATCAATTTCAACGAACAACAGTTGAATATTTCAAAGACTTTCTTGCGCCGAGTTCCAGTGAAAAGGTCGTCTCCAAAGGATGGAGCAAAAAGTAACAAACAAGAGTTTTCTTTAAACTACAGCTCCTGCCAAGCATTCAATTGAAACAGTAGAATCTAGATTTTACAGAAATGCTATTTTAAAGAAGTACTTAGATTAATAAGATAATTTTGAAGATAAGCAGGCACCTTTATTTTGCACATCACACAAAACGATTTTCTAGACTACCTAGGGAGAGGGAGGACAGTAGACAGATACGTACGTAACATTAACATATTTAACTAGCACTTTGTCGTACGTTCCGTGATCAAGAACAGGATATAAATCTAGGAAATTAGGAGGATATTATAATCTAAAGATCCGTAAACCATTTTGTGATGTAACATTAGGAAAAAAACATGCCAAAAGCAAAATACAAAATATTATATTCATAATTATTCTTAATACTCGTATGATAAAAGTTACCAACAATGATCATGCTTTTTATATACTTAGGTAGTATCTACCTAGTCGTCAGGTTTCCTCAAAAGACTCACATAGTCATGACAGATTATATTTTTGAAAGCTTTATTTCCTCGTAATCTAACGGACAGCTCATAAATTAATGGAATGTCGCTTGTCGCTTTTTCTTTCCTTTGGGTCCCGTATTTCAAAAGGAAGAACGGCACCTTATTACCACTTCTTAGTTCATTTGCCTGTCGATTAAGATTTTATTATTTTCTGGATTTAACGCAATACGAATATACAGCTAGGGTATGTTATAAGGGCTTCCTTAGTGTAAAAATTATGTTACTTTTTTGCCATTACAAAAACAATAAAATAATAGATCACACGTTACTTTACAGTATGGGAGAACCTAAACTGCTGAGTTAGATCTCTTTATACAATAAATATTTCGAAGTGGACCATGTGAACGCAGAAAATGCAGACATGCAATATTTGGGAAAGGGCTGAGTCAGGATTGTATACATATATATCTCAGTGCGCAAGTCCGACTTGCATTGACCAGTTTTTATTAAAAAGCTTCGTTTCAGCCAAAAGTGACGTTCACTGCTGGACAAAAGGCCTCCCCCAAGGATTGTCACAACGACCGGCCCTGTGCCGCCCGCATCCAGGCACCTCCCGCGACTCTCATCAGATAGAAAAAGTTATTATGGTTGCAAACCCCACTCGAAATAAGTAAAATTTTTACTCCAATTTGAATTTTAGAGAAATGCCATGGCGCATGTAAACCCAAAACTATTTCATTAAGCTAGCAATAAATTACTGATACGTACTAAGTTATCTCTGGAATTTCAACGAAGACACTGTAAGATAAACCCATGATATTTCAATTAAAATTTGGAAACAATATACGAGTACGTTTCCTCTGCAACAAACTTCAGTTTGGCCTTATTATTATTTAACCCTGAAACTCGATAACCTTTTACCTTTATAACTTTGGTATAATGTTTAATGTTTAAATGTCTGTCTTAAACTTTTCGCAGAGAAGCAGTTTCATTTCGAGATTCTTTGTTTAATTGCGGATCCGAGTAGAAGCGGTCAAAGTTTTGTTTTCGATATAATTAACAGCTAATAAACAATTAAGGTGCTTGCTTATTTAATTGTATAGAGTTCAGAACTTCAGAGTCAGACGACGAGCACTTATTGATGATGTCTAAAGTAGTTAAGCCTTTGAGTGCTGAGAAACTAGACAATAGAAATTGATTGGCTTATTTCCAACGTATAAATTTATTGAAATCAAATTAGTGTATAGAATTACCGGTGTGAAAATAAAGAGTAAAGTATTAGTAGTACCTATTAGTATTTGTCAAAGTATTGTATAAAATCAAGCACAAATAATATTCTAAGGAAGAGCGGTGTCTCCTGGAAATAGGATTTTATTTACCTATTATGATTATTGAATGAAACAACTTCAGAGAGAACGTGAAATTGACTGTACAAGCATGGTGTACAAGTATATTGGTTAACTACTAGAAAAATAACAGTTTTTCAAATCCAAAATTCTTTATGTTAGCCCTTTTTAGTGCACTTATTTACACGTCCGTACAATGTACAATGATCTTGTTTGTGTCTTTTCTTTCCTTACTGTAGTATCTTTTGCCTCTCACTGGAATACGTAGATGTGAAATTTATAGGACTTGATTTGCAGTACATGTACTCGGTCAAGCCATAACCATCTTTTCTCGACTGCATCTCGTTGAGCCAATTTTGATCGATTGCCCGCAGAGCCTGACCTGTGCAATCCTGGGCAATTTATTTCTGCTTAGACAGTGGATTTCCTTTGAGGTCTTCTTGATCGAATGTCTTATTTGATGGAGCTGATGTTTCTTTCTTTTATTTTCCTTTGGTTTGCAGTAAAACTTTATTAATTCTGTATTTAAAATGATAGATTATTGTTTGTTTTGCACCATAGTCATTTTATCTACTGTATCTTGGCTAGGTATTTTAAAATTGAAGATGGTTGCAAATAATGAGATCTATTAAAATTTTAAAAATATTACTTCCTATAAATGTGTTTTATTTTTTTAAGTTTACTGGATAATTTCCGTTAATTCTCCAGGTAAGATAAATATTCACCTAAAGTACGGCCAACGAGAAGCGATACCAAATGTAAACAAACCCAATGTCATGAGTGAACCCGTCTGACTTTTGACATATTTTGGCGGGAGAACAAGACATTATGACAAATACACAAGATGGGAAGAGACAGAATATATTGGCAACTCGACAGTCGTATCGACCTTTTGTATCGCTAGTTGGCCGTACTTTAGTGCATAGAGATCCACCATAATAGTCTAGCTAGTCTAGTCGACAGACCGCTGCCGCTACCTAAAACGTTGGGCCAATATCGCTCAAATTCGCCCTACTACGTTGTAAATTTTGAACCCCAAACTATCAACTCATAATCTGTTTCAAATTACGGTTATTACACATGCAGAGACGTATTACAGTTCGCGAATTGCTTTAGAGCCACGTGAAATATGAGCGTCTACTGCCAGTGGGTTAATAAGGGTTAAGATTAAATTGGAAATCCTTTGAATGTAGTGGTACTTGAATGACTATGCATGACGGAATATGCAAGTTAAGCATGTGTTCACAAGCACACAAGCGTTAGCGTGGTTTCAGGCAGTCTAAAGTATGTAGAACATGGACAGAAAAGTCTAGGGCTGAGTTGCTGCACCACCTAACTTTGATCGTAACTTTAACGATAACCGGTGTTATTCGTATGGAGTTTGATAGATTTTTGACGTTTGTTAAAGTTAAAGTAAGATGGTGGCACCCAGCCTAAGGCTGAGTTGGACCACCAAACTTTGACCGTCACCATAGCGATAACCGTTGTTTTGTGTATAGAGTTTGACAGCTTTTTGACGTTTGTCAAAGTTAAAGTAAAATAAGTAAGCAGAAGAAACAAGTGACATCAAATAGTTTAAATTAAACAGAGTTATATTTTGTGGTTATATGATTGCATATTTAACGAGTCTACCTTCTACCGTTACGGATTAATGATAATTTTCCTTTTCTAATGAATTGTTTAGAGACCATTTAATTAGATGAGTTCTCATGAAATACAAATGATTTTATTATGAGGGTTGCTATTTTAGCCAGGTCCTTCAATTAAAAGGTAATTAAAATTGTCCAACATACCGAAATATAATTATTTTGTAAAGAGAAACAAATGACGCGGAACCAAAGCTTAGTTAATGTAAAAACGATGTTTTTTAAATATTCTTTTTAGTAATGATTTAACCGTGAGTAAATTATTCCTAAAAAGACTTGTAACACGGCAGAATGGGTTCTGCTGTGTTACAAAATTTAAACATGGCCGCATCTGTTTTGCAGAATTAGTTGATTGACGTTATGAAGAAATTACATTACGTTCGAGTAGGCGTACTTACGTAGCTTTGTATTAAGTTTTTATTACGCTACATCATCAAAGTTAGAAAGAAGTTCTCTAACAATTTTTCGGTTCTGTTTTGTTCGACGCTAATACCTACTTACTAACTATATTTTTTAAATTTCTGCGCTATACTGGCTTTGATTTTCAGCCAATTCTCAGTATTCGGAGGTAATACTGCCTAAGCATGCCTACGTATGGTTTCTTACAAACTGCTTCACTTAAAAGGTACTTAGGTATTGCTTTTGAACTTTTATACATTGGAACATGGAAAACCAAACAAATTAAAGCAAAAATACATTGGCTTTAGATTTACAGTAATAAATAGTACTATCCCTCACTGAAGCGGTAACCGTGCAGTTACGATTTCGTCCAAAGGTACGAGAACTGCCATCAACCGCGCGATTATCTCTGTGTTTAAACCAGCCTTATTGGTTCGTTCGTTCGTTCGTTTTAGCTGAAAGACGTCCACTGCTGGACAAAGGCCTCTCCCAAGGATTTCCACGACGACCGGTCCTTATTGGTGCTGAAACTAAATTAAAATAACTTTAACTGCCTAAGGCGGGAATTGAACCCACGACCTTTCGCTTGCCGGGTGACTGCTCTTCCATCTGAGCTACTTAGACATTGCATTCAAGTGTAATACGCTGACGTTATGTTATTGATGTCTTTGTCACCAGTTGCTGCCCGGCCAGCAGGACTACCCGTACTCATGGGCGGTGTACATGCTGTTCCACATGCACTTCACGCAGATTCTTCACACAGCCTCCATACTTCTCACGCTGTCCCTCGCTGTGTGGAGGTACCTGGCGATCAAGTAAGTTATTACAAATATTGTCATCTTTACACTGCATTAAAGCGAAAGCACACGATTAGTTGGGACGTGGTTCCGGAGCGGTGTCGCTGCGTCGTCTTACATACAAATGTCTGTGGTGTGCACACGTTGCGAGATACGGCGAAATCTTCACGCTGCGGCGTCGCAACACATTGTGTGCCTTGGCTCTTACATTATTGGTTGAAGTAATTTGGAGATACGGAGCGAGTATCTTTTGATTTTGTCACTGCAACTCCTGTGAAAACAGGATCGACAACTAACCAGTGTAACCAATGAAAGTTGGGTAACTCCCGAGGGACTTATGGGATCTAAGGAGTAAGGACCAACAAACATGTAGGCTATCTGAGGTCACTGTCAGCCCTCTAGTACTGGACCCTAATGCATTATAATCAGACGGGGCAATTCGCTTACGCATCGACCCTTTTAAGGCGATCAGTTCACACATCATTAGACATGCCTTCTTTGAAAGGATTTTGTATTTCTACGAAGTACAAGATGGAAGGGACAGGAAAAACACCGAATTTTGTGTCGGAAAACTAATCGGATTTACAATTTGCTTAAGTTTTTGTCACTTGGGTTTGTTGTTGTTTGCGAAAGTCGAACAGTAAACAAACGCGATAAAGTGTTTATCGTATCTAATAGAATATAGCGGAAAATACAGCGTGCTATAGTACTTTAAATAACTTTAAGTACGTACTTACTACGTTACTTTAATCATTATTGCTCGCATAAAGGTTCCAGCTTTACGTATAGCACAATTATTGAATTAAACACAATATTATTCTTTTTTTTATGCATAACAAGGCAGGTATTTAACCACAATTTTAACAGTCAAAATCCTCTTCTACCTAAACGTGCTAACGAATCCGGTCGTTAATTACCTAGATTGCAGAAGCGCTACGAAGTTAGTGAAAACAATGAATTCGGAGTTGCTAAATCCTTGTTTGTTCCAGGTACCCTTCATACAGCGCGTCTCTGTGCACGGATCGCCGGTGCACCGCCGCGATTCTAGCGAGCTTCATCCTCCCGCCCATACTGTGCATACCTTCGTACTTTGTAAGTAGATTACTTCAAGTAGTTTAAAATACAGGGTGATAGACCAGACGGATATAATGTTTTTTCAGAAAGTTGGATCCCGCCAGGGAAGTGCTGAGAATCACTTTATTGTAAAGTTTCAATAAAACAACTGAATATATCAAAACTACATAAAAAATCATAACTCATTAAAATCGGATGGGAAGCGATTTCTTCCTGCCGGGGTCTGACAGGTCCCCAATAGAACTTTCTAAAAAAAAATGGTTTCGACATCCTGTCTGCTTCCTTTAGGGTGACTTATATTACGAGTACTTACTTATATTTCAATGTGCGAGATGTTGTTTACATAATCACGTCTTCAGTCTTAACATCAAGGATTCATTACGTTAAAAGTTTCTTATTTATCGTTTCAATTAGGCTTCCTCACTGTCATTAAATCAGTAAGTGGGAGAGGGGAAGAGCATGCTATAATCGTTCCCCGTTATCCTGAGGGAATTTATGAGAAAACTCGTGGATGCTCATGGGTATACCTGGCGATTGGAGTTGGCATTGGTTATCGTCAAGGGAATCCCATAAATTCGCCTAAATATATGTAATGTATGGCTCTTTAAATATTCTAGTTTACGACCCCAGAATTTCATTTTAAGTCTACGAGAATAAAATAAAAAAATCAGTGTATCAGCCACTTACCGGAAAACCGAAGACCTCTTAAAGACGGAAAGAAGGCGCTAGATGCAGGCCGCTACCAACCGGGCAATATGGAAATCATTGAGGGAGGCCTATGTTCAGCAGCGTCATTTTAGCTACAGGCTAAAATGATGAAGACGATGATAATAATAAATCAGTTAACTAGTAACAGTTCGTAACTAATTTGTTGCCAAGATTAATAGATTAGCGGAAGACTATTCGCGATTGATAAAGGTTCGGATGGCGTGGAACAAACAATTACCGCAATGCCTAGTCAAAGCTACAATATCGAATAAAACAGCCAGTGAATCAAAATAATTGAATAATTGATGAATTAATTAATTTAAAAATGTTGAGTGCTAAGCAGCCAGTCATAATAATGTTTAAACATACATACAATTATTCTTGCTTGTCTTTAATACAGAGTGTTAGTGTAGACATAAATCCTTTAAACTGATAGCTCAGTTCATTCGTTCGTTCGTTTCAGCCGAAAGATGTCCACTGCTGGACAAAGGCCTCCCCCAAGGATTTCCAAAAAGACCGGTCCTGCGCCGCTCGCATCCAGGCACCTTCCCCGACCTTCACCAGATCGTCGGTCCACCTAGTGGGAGGCCTGTCACGCTACGTCTTCCGGCTCGTGGTTGCCACTCGAGAACTTTCCTGCCCCAGCGGCCATCAGCTCTACGAGCTATGTGGCCCGCCCACTGCCACTTGATTTTAGCGATTCTGCGGGCTATGTCAGTCACTCTGGTTCTCCTACGCATCTCCTCATTTCTGATTCGATCACACAGGTAGCTCAGTATCATGTTAGAGTCCAAAACCGAACCGATTTAGAACCCTTGTAACCTTTGTTCATACACAATAAAGACTTTATTACTTTACTTTATTACTATTACTTTAAAACCTATAGCAAAAATCCTTAAAATTTAACATTTTTCTACAAGAAAAAGACTGTTTGGCCTATCACCTCGTAAAAAAAAATCGGAATTTCATGTATAAATTATAAGGTTCGAGATCTAGTAAATGAATTCAGCAGTTATGGATAGTTTGATGTTACCCTGTTCTTATCTGTAAAATTTATGTTTTACTAACATTCATTTGATATGGTTTTCAGTTTGTTTACGATCTTCCTCAAAACAGAAACGATCAGTGTTATAGAGTGCACCGATAAATATCCAAGAATTTATGATAGCTGAAGTCGTAAAACTTTAATATCAGATTTTTAAACAACTGCACAGTCTGTTTTCTCCGGGCTGTGGTAAGACAAAGTCGCACCTTAGATTAATCGATTTCTTCGAGGTTTATGAGGGCGTAAACAATATAAACGGCACGGAAGCCATCAAGCTCTTGCGGTTTGAGTGTATTTCGGGAACGGTTGCGTGCCTTGAACAACTCGACTCAATTAGATTATTAAATACACATTCATAATTCAACAGATGGGTGTTGAATAAACAGTTTCATTTATCTTTAGCTCTAGTGGTTTTGGTGTCATATTTCATTGAAAATACATTATGTAACAAATCCGTCATTTTAACCGGTTGCAGACAGAGAGCATAGCTGAAGCGAAGAAGAAGTTTTCCATAGTTGTGTGCAAACTGAAAACTACAGAATATTGAGAGCTATATGCGAGCTAAACTAAACTTATAACTAAGCTCTTGGTCTGTAAACCGCATCAGTCTATTGTAATAAGATATCTAGCCTTATTGTTTAAATTATGTATTTCATTTGTGGATTGCGACGATTCATACTGACTCATCGATCATGTCCATGATTGAGTCAAAGAAGAAACAATAAGGAAGTAGCCTGTAGGTTCAATGCACTTATTTGTCATAACAGTTTCCATTTGCGATATTATGCACAATAAAAACAAAGCGTAGATAACGGCTGAGCTTTCTCAGAACAACAGTTCCGATTTCTTCCCAGAAATGAGTACTGAAAGTTTTTGTTTTAACTATGCAAAAATGTGGAAAGTTGGTAGGTCGTAAAATTTTAGGGAAAAAATTCCAACGCTGCTATTTTCTCTCTCTAAAAATGAACTCGTTGTTAATTGAAGCGTTAACGCTTTCTGTGTTTAATTCAAGCCAATTTAAAGTTCATTTTCCACAGGTGTTCACAATCCACAATGACTTCACTGTGGACCAGTCTGGGACCATTCCTACGAAGGTGTACTACGTGGACTCAGACTACGATGGGACTCTGTACCAGATCAACTTCTGGGTGCATGGTGTGCTCATCAAGCTGTTGCCGTGTGTCATCCTGACGCTGATCAGTGCTTGGCTCATTCGGGCGTTGTACCGAGCTAATAGCAGGAAGAAAGCTTTGAAAGGGTAAGGTTCTAAACGCTGTCTCAAACGCGTCGAAATTTCTAAACCCATCGTGTTAGAGAGAAAACGAGTAACGAACGTGCTTATTCCTATTCTACTTATCCCCAGAATATGATTTTTATATGGTCTGATATGAGATAACTCTGTTTTCCAAATCAGAAGGTGTATTAGGAGATGGCTATGTCCAGCAGTGATATGGTTTGATTATATTTTCACTTTACACCAAACTTTCGCTTGCTGGGCAACTAATCTTACCTTGGCATAAAGACATCAATTGGCAACCTAGTAAAATTATCAGTTAAAGCTTGCTCACTGACCGCACAACTAAATAGCATTCAAGAGGTTCTTACCCATCAACATGTTCAAGCCAACGAACATACACTTCTAGTGTGTTTACAAAGTAATTTCCTTTCAGGTATAACGCCTGCCCAACTATAGTGAACGGCAATGCTAAAAAGAACGTGTTCACAAGGAAGTCTACGAAGAGATCGAAGGCTGAGCGGCGCACCGACCGGACCACCAAGATGCTGGTCGCGGTGCTCCTCCTGTTCCTGATGACGGAGTTCCCGCAGGGTATATTAGGTGAGGTATTTAGATTTTAGATTATGGAAAGCATTGGGGGGAGGCCTATGTTCAGCAGTGGACGTCCTATGGCTAAGATGATGATGATGATGATGATTTAGATTTTATTCGAGGTACAGCACATCAGAGTAGGTACACATTTTTGTTGAAAAGTAGCACCACAACTAACAAAAGATACCCATAGGAATTAAATTGATATGCTAATCGTCTGTCCTTAACTTTTCTTGGCGTCATACCTACATGTCTACTTGCTGTAGTGGATGGCTGCAGCCGGCTACGTGGGACTTTTTGACGAATTGCATCGACATAATTTGCGAAGTGTATCTACTCACCAAAACATACAATATGACATAGGTCAGAGCAGTGGAGACGAGACAAAGAAGATCATTATTACAGGCTGTCAAGGTTATGCGTCAATATGTAACAAAGATTTATTTATAAGCTTTATGATCGATTAAATCCGTACATCAATTATTCAAATTTTATGTGCAGATCAATAAAAAAGCAAAGAAGATCAAAATATTTTCATTGGTTTCAATTCTGGTCTAATAATAAGTTTGTTTTGCCCGTCAATTTCAATTTCATATCCGATTAGATCAAAGTCGTTGGGTTTATAAACAAACCCGCCACTGACAGATACACAAGGCTCATTGAACACGGGAAATATGTATAAAAACCTATTTTAGAAAATACGCGAATAAAAACTTGTGGAACTTCAGTCATCAATAAATTGGGAATTGTAAACAAAGTTGAGAGAATCCGTTAGCTGCCTACTGTTGATTGCAACGAGCTAATCCCGGATTCGCAACGATTTAAAGATTTCAAACATGTTGAAGATCGTGATACAATAGTAATGGAGCAATATTGTGGTATTGCATAGCGATGATATACAGCGGTATAACTTCAACCTTCCCGAATTCTGTTCCAAATTAGATTGAAATAGAAATCAATAAGATTCTAAAATTGCACATACAGAACATCAAAAAAATCATGCAATTATGGTTACTTTTTACGCGGAGAACTTATGCCTGCACATTAAAGTAGGGAAGGTTAGGTAACAAAATACGTAAATTAATCCTTGACACAACGCTGAGCCTACGCACCAAGCCCGTCATATATCCCTTACAGTATTAATGAAAGCTGTGGAAATTTCTAAGTACACATCCATGACTTCTACTGAAGTTGGTATTTGTCAAAAGAACCTAGACCTTGCCAGAATATTCCTTACCTTAGTGTATTTAAGGACTTATACACTCCGTATAACCAAAGTTCTTGTTCCAGGTCTTCTAAGCGGAGTGCTGGGGCGTTGCTTCTTCAAGCGCTGCTACGATCTCTTCGGGGAGATGATGGATGCACTGGCTCTCCTCAACGGGGCCATCAACTTCGTCCTCTACTGCTCCATGTCCCGCCAGTTCAGAACCACTTTCGGGCACATGATCAGGAATAGGTGTGCTCCTACACCAAGAGCAAGTTCCACCACAGAACTGCAGACGACTTACGTGTGACTAAAAAAGTGTCGCAGAAGTGTGACGCAGCATTTTTTGTGAAGTTACCGATCAATGTATGATACATTGCATCCTGTGGGTCTAGACAAAGTGCAAATTATAATTGCAAACCAGTCGAAAAGTTGTCGAAAAGCCCCTTTTTTGTATGGAGTTTTGACGGATTCGATTTTCAATTCGATCAAAAAGTGCGTTTTGTCTAAGGGGGCTGGACTTCTAGGAGAAGGCAGAGAGAGCGAACAATGTATGTGATGTATTTGACATCACAGTCAGTTTGTTTTTTTGTTCAAAGAGGCCAACGTTATCGTTTAAAGACTTTTAAGATTAAAGAGACGGTTTTCAAGATGTGGAACATGTATGTTGATTGTTTATACGTATCTTGTTATCGTATAAAGCTTTCATCCTAGATAATGCTCGACTATTGTATATGACAAGCAGGAAATTGGTGCCGTTCTGAATCTTTATGATAAAGATTTTATATTATTACTAAGTCTGTCAGGCATCAGGTAGATCCAGCTGCGCTGCTTGACAACAAGAAAATTGTTTTCACTTTTTAATGGTGGTTGATAAATTAATCTCCGAGTGCTAGTATTGGCATTGTTTGAGTAGCCCTGTACAATTGGAAATTATGAATGTTTATAAATAAGGAAAATTGTATAAAATGTCTAAAATTAAGATACAATTATGGCGTCGATTGCAAAATGTTGATGCGAGTAAAATAAAAGAATGTCCGTCTGATTGATAAACAATAATGAAATTAACATTGCTCTCAAGATACAATAAAAATAGGATCCCGTTTTTACCCTTTGGGTAGGGAACCCTAAAAAGCTTAGTATGACCACAGTATGACGCCTGTAGGCGAAGTGTGTCAAGAAGTGTAAATTGAAGAAATAAATTTATGCTTCGCAACAAAATAAAGTAATTGTTCAATGTATTACTAATTTAATGATGACGTATATTTTTGATTTGTGCTTTAAAACTGGACTCAAGGAAATTAAATGTAAATTCTTGATTATACAGTTTATTTTGTTACTCATATAAATACAAAACTTTTGTTTCATTTCCTACCTGATTCTGAAACTTAATAGACTAGAAGCTAGTGAACGCCAGACCTACGTTATTTTAGAAAAGCTGAAAGTCTGTCAGCGCATGTTCCCAACATAGGTAAGAACGTCGACAAAGCCACGATGACCCAAACTGCATAATGCAAACGTTCTTACCTATATTGGGATTATGAAGTGTCAAACTTTCATTCAGCTTTTATAAAATAACGTAGGTCTGGAGTTCACTAGCTCTTAGTCTATAATCTTCTATGACGATGCGACTGTGAAATGTGTGTTTTTTGTCCCAAAGATTGGGGTAATTTGTCATGTCCTGCTGTATTTTTACCCGTCGTAAATTATACGAGCATCCGCTAACTCGACGTACTTTTGTGTTCACGACAATATTGCGGGTTTGCTTTTTATCATGTAAATTGACTAAGCTAGGAATGGTTAGGGTAAACCGTTTCAGTGGTTGGGCTACTGTAATTATGAGTAACGAGGGACCGGGACATCTTTACCGAGTGGCTGGGGAAGATAATTTTATTTATTAGAGGCATGAATGGATCGCAAGCCTCGTAATTAGGTAATACTTAGAACTGACAGATTTTGCGGTCTGTGTTTAGTTTTTATGTCTTAGCTGTTTCAAGAAACAATCTCATCCAGGGAATGCAGATGTTATTTATTTATTTTATTTATTTATTTATTATTCATTATTGAGCAATTACATATTTGATCCAAATAGCGTCCTAAATCCTCTTTAGGTTTGTCTAGGCACTATTGTTATTGGTTCTCTATACAAATAAAAACAAAGGTTTTAGTATGAGTTTTATGTTAATCTATGATAGTTCAAAATTAATAAAAAAATACAATTTCAAATGGTATCAAGTCAAAACATTTACAAGTAGGTAAGTATAATCATACTTTTAAAAGCAGTATAAGAAAGATGTAGCGACAAGTGAAAATCAAAATGAAAATAAATACGTAACTGAAGTAAGTTACAAAGATGAAAGAAGATCGCAATCGCAAATACAAAGAAACGGAATCTACGAATATTTGTGTAAATTTTTTCTTATTCAAATAATTATGTCACTCGTAAATAATGATGTACCTAAGTAGTAAGTACAATGTACTTACCCACAGGTAAATAAGTACCTGAAAAACATTCAAAGCAACAGATGTTTGCGAGTTGCTAACAATATTTTCTTCGGATATAGGTACAATCAATTTCATGCCATAGATAAATGAATAATAGACTATGCACATTGCACCTTATAATCCACCCATGGATTTGGATTTCAAATACAGGGTCAGACTTTATAACTCAGACTACAATATTGCAGGGATTGGATCATTTACAGTATGCTGTTTTGATCCGTATGCGTACAGTTGGAAAAATAAAATCAGATCTAAAGTTAATAAGTAAGCTAAACATTACAATAATAGATAAGTCATCACTACAGGGTTGAGCCGGTAAGCAAACCGTACGTTAATCCGCCCGATGAACGAGGGACTTGATTGAGATTTCGGAGACCTATTACTGACCGATTGGACGTGTGATTGAATTAACCTTTCTATACAAGTAAGAAAAACATTTGTTTTGGTTCCAACTTAACAACAACAACAACACAGATGTACAAGTAATTAAGTACGGATTAGCAAGCTAACGTGGCAATGGGCAGGGCACATAGTACGCAGAACTGACGGCCGATGGGGCAGAAAGGTTCTGAAATGGAGGCCGCGTACCGGAAAACGCAGCGTGAGACGTCCACCTACAAGGTGGACCGACGACATCGTAAAGGTAGCAGGGAAGCGCTGGACGCAGGCCACTACCAATCGATCAACGTGGAAAGCATTGGGCGAGGCCTATGTTCAGCAGTGGACGTCCTATAGCTGAAATGATGATGATGATGATGTACACAAGTAGTCAAAACCAAAATTGGCCACCGCTCAGCATGGGTCATGCTCTGTAGTGTCTCACTAGTGTCTGTCTGTGTAAGTAGGTATGTTAGATCGAAACATTAAGTACATTTCTGACGTCATAAAGTGGTATGCTGAACATTTGGGCTTTCACTTAACTGTAAAGTAGCTAAAGCTTCATTTGACTGTGATAGTATCAACGAGAAGATACTATTACATCCCATAAAAGGTCTACCACAAAGTTTGGCAAGTTTAAATTCCCTTATTTACATCCTGATTTAACTTCAATCCTATTTCCTAAATCTATTGACACAGTAAATAACACGGTCTCATAGGTCATATGGGTAAGGAAGGTTAAGTTAGTTGATTTACATACGCTTGATTGCGGTTTACATTCAGCCTTATGTTTAATGCGAAAAGCATAGACAGAGGGATTAATTGTTTCATTAAGTACCTATATGCTTCAGGTAATACACTATCTAAAGCCTGGTCCGTGAGCACGTAGAATTTTGTCCAATGACCCCAAGCTACCCTTATCGCACCCGCAGTGAGTGTGCGAGCGCGACAGCAACATAATTACGCGCGAGCGATAAGGATGAGTAGCTTGGGACTTGGGGTCATTGGACAAAATTCTACGTGCTCACGGACCAGGCTTTAGTGATCAAAACACTGGCAGTTACCTCAACGGGACTATTCCCACCTTTCGTTCCCACCGCTGCAACTCCTGTGTAGCCAGGATCTGCAACTTGACCGCCAATAAAAAACCTACTAGTGAAGGTTAAGTTTGTCCCGGGGGAAAGTTAAACTGTCATTGGACAACGAAATCAATCAGAAGAATAAAGGAGTTCAAAGTTAAGGTTCGACTTCCTTCCAGTGCAAAGCGGATGACAGGAGACGAAACAAAGGTTTCGTTCGTTTCGTTTCAGCCAAATGACGTCCACTGCTGGACAAAGGCCTCCTCCAAGGCTTTCCACAATGCACGGTCCTGCGCTGCCCGCATCCAGGCTCTTCCCGCGACCTTTACGAGATCGTCGGTCCACCTAGTAGGAGGCCTGCCCACGCTACGTCTTCCAGCCCGTGGTCGCCACTCGAGAACTTTTCTGCCCCAACGGCCATCGTCTCTACGAGCTATGTGCCCCGCCCACTGCCACTTGGTTTTAGCAATTCTGCGAGCTATGTCGGTCACTTTGGTTCTCCTGCGGATCTCCTCATTTCTGATTCGATCACGCAGGGAAACTCCAAGCATGGCCCGCTCCATCGCCCTTTGGGTGACCTTGAGCCTTCTTATGAGGCCCATAGTAAGCGTCCACGTTTCGGAAAGCTTAGCTTGTGAAAACTGGGATGGATATCTAAGTAAGTACTTTAATCTCAAATAAGGTCATCAAGTCTACAAATTCGAACCAAATGTTGAAATTCTGCTACAAACAGAAACATTTCTTTGAAGTCCCGTATTCAACACACCATCATTCATCCAGTGTCATTCGGTTTATATGAATCTTAGCGCTTTAGAATAAGGCTGGGTTTCACCATCTTACTATGACTTTAACAAACGTCAAAAATCTGTCAAATTACATACAAAAAACATCGATTAATGTTATAGTTACTGTTAAAGTAAGATGGTGCAATCCAGCGTAAGAGTCAATAGTTTACGTTATAGGATAGGCTCGCCCATGTGCTATAAACATTATAGCAACTTGGCAAACTGCCAAGTCAATAGAGCCGGTATACATGCAAAGGAAATGAGAATTCATTAGGGTAAAAATACACGCGCGTATTATAAATATTTTGGAAATGATTAGTAAAACAACAAGCAATTTCGCAATTAGAGCGTATCTATCCATGTCGTTATCAACATCGAGGGGAGTGTAGTAGATCGGTAATTAGGTATTTTTTTACATAGCTTTATGGTTTATGTTCTTACCAAAGATATAAGAATTTAAAATCCAAACCGCGAATGCTAAGAACTTTAAACCATATCCCAATGGGTAAATTATACCACAATCGTTGAGATAACTTTTATAGGTTGTCGAAATACGAAACTACGAAATTAATGCCCGTTTTCACCATTAATCCCTACTTTTTAAGTGACCCCTATGACACCAAATTCATGTTAAGTGTCATCATAGGGGTCACTTAAAAATTAGAGATTGATGGTGAAAACGGACATAAAACTACGACATCAATAACAAAAAGCTAGACATGTAGGTACTTAGAAAACCAATAAAGATTTATAGGGCTAGAATGAACATTTCTTTGATTAGTTAACGGTAAAAAAAATCTAATTTATAAGTGGGAACCACAAAAAAGGAACGACGAATGGGAGGTGCATAGGTCAATGTAAATAAAATGTGAGGACGTTTTATCAAAACTAGGACAGACTAGAGGTGGGCGCCGATATAAAATTGGTTGGCGGCGGCGCGCCGACTTTTTGACCTCGGCGGCGGCGGCGTCGGCGGCGTGACCTTATTTGACCTTTGTTCATTAGGTATTTTTTTTAAATCTGCTTTTTTAGTATCTATCGTCAAGACTAATCAGGTGATTTGCAGTTGGTTGGGGTTTGAGCCACTAAAGCAGTGGTTTACCCTAGTAAATTAGCTCTCTTGATCATAGATACTTTGATATTTGGATAGCGGGTTTGGCTGAGATCAGGTTCTCGTGTATTTCCTAAAGGCGAGCGTACCAATGTGCCGATAAAAGTACCCTTAACATGTATTTTTGAGCTCTTTGGAGGCACATAGTTAATGTTGGATTAGCTGACTGTCGGTGGAATATTATATTCAGTTCTGTTTTATTTATATTTATGGTCTTTCCATGTCATCCTACGGTCCAGGATTTTAATGCAGGTTGATTGCAGCAATGTGTCGAGGTCTAGATTGGCCGGAGGATAAGTTTCACGTCTTAAATCATAATATGGTGAGACATCGGGGCTTAATTACATGCGCCACTTGGTCAGCTCCACCTAGTATTTTTTAAATTACACGATTTCCGACCCTACCATCAAAGTAATAGAGGTTATTATTGCATAATCCGTAGTCGTGTATTACGCGCACCGCGTATTTCTCGCTAAGC